TTTGTTTGCTTGCTTTTTTTATTTGTTTTTGCTTCAACGAGAACAACTGGACAAAATTAAATGAACTAGTCTTTCAATTATTTATCTGCAAAATAAATAAAGCCTCTGCTGGCACAGAGAGAGTGAAGTGTTTCGTTGCTTTGTTAGTTCATGTTACACCTTTCTGACTCCTCCTAAAAGGAATAATTCATTTATTTTCTCTAGACTCTTGAATTTTCATTTCAAACAAAAGCTTGTGTTTTCCAAACTTTCGGATTTTTGGCAAACATGACTGATGCCTCTGCTAAATAGAAGTTTAGAAAGAGTTTTCTGGAGGATGAGCGGTTATTAAGTCCAAGATGTCCCCCGAGTGTTTATTCAAGAGCTTATGCAGCAAGCATGCCCCAGATATAGAGTGTGCTCAGACCTTATCGCTTCTCGCAATGAGCATGTCTGACAAAGGCAGATTAGGCAAGGGGTGCTTCAGGAATGTGTCTCGAGCCCTGCTGACTTTTTTTAGACTTGTGCTATCAGTTACCTCGTCATTTTCTATGTTGCCTATAAGGAGTTTGGCCATCAACACAATTCAAAAGCTACAGATAAAATGCTAATGTGACAGATTATAATATCTGTTTTATGGTAATTTTGTTTGGACACACAATGCTATCAACAAAGTTCCTCAAATGTGACTCACTCGACGATGTTGACTACATCCAGGGGTGCCGCTATGGTTTCTGGGCCCTGTGAACTGCATATATAAATCGTCTTCTGGGGGGTGGTCCCCCTCAGTAGAAATCGCGTTCGGGCCCCCTCTCCCTAGTCAGGCCCTTGGAATCATCCTAACCCCCCAACACCCCCTGACTATAACAGTGTCCAGCTGACCTATAAACACATGTAAGTAAATAAGAACAAGTTGTTTTTATGCTGTTGAAGTTGTTGTAAACATATACTAAGTTATTATATGAAACCACAGCCATTTTCAAAGACTAAAATGCATAAAAGTATACAACAAGATTTACAATAAGACATAAATCATCATCTAAAATTATTTGCCTTTAGCTTTAGCCCATTAAAATGGTTCGTGTTTAAAAAGTACTTTTTTTAAATGCAGTAACATAATCTAGAGCATAACTGTCTGTCTGCGCTGCTGTGTCTCAATTGTAATACAGAACCGATAACAGGGACACTTCTCATGACCTTAGACCTTCTGGTGTCATAGCCAAATGACTAATGTAAATACTTTTCCAGATCCCTCATAAATCATGCCATTTCTACAAAAAAAAGTTGAGTGAACAAAGTGATGATGGTGAAACTTTTCTTCTGAAGCCTGAATAATTCTCTGCCGTTCACAGTTGAACACAGATTGAACTCTCATGTTGTTCCAGCTCTGTTTTGATTTTATTTCTTTCATTCTTTGAAACATCTCTTATGAAACATAAGAGATGTTAAGCAAAATATTGTGTGGGAAAAGCCCACAAAAGTGGATCGTGATTAATACCATTTTTTGTATTTTTTTTAAATACATATTTTATTTTATTCCAAACTCCAAAATGAGCAAAAACAGCACTTAGTCTAAATGACTTTTGCGCTACAAAATAAAAGGTAGCAATCTGCATTTGTAAAAAGCTATTTCTACCTGATTTAACCTTTTTATTTTATTTTATTTGTATAACCTAATGTGTTTAGGTTGATTCAGAATGTATAGTCCATCTCTTATGAAGTCACATGATAGATTTCTGTGAGAAATATATAAAAATTTCAAAAGTCACTATTAATCTTTCTCTCTGCTAGAGCTTGTATGAAATTATTTGACCTGCAAATGGTATGACAGAGGTGATGATAGTTAGCAAACAAGACTCAAAAATTTACTGTTTCTAACACAAAATGAAGACTTGGAATATAGCACACAACTCATATGACTACTTTTGTGATATTTTATGGTACTTTTTACAAGTATAAATCCACTTTACTTTACCAGAAGCTCAGACATTCACTAACTTTTTTGTGTGAAATATTTTATATACTATATGACTCCTTACAATAATCTAATTCTCAGTACTACAACACGAACTATTCTGAACTGGTTCTGCAGCCCATCATTACCCACCCTGTGTCAGCATGTCAATCACAGTCACCACACAGACAATCAATCTGGTCTTCTTTCCAATCTTTCTTCTCTCTCTCTCTCTCTCTCTCTCTCTCTCTCTCTCTCTTGTTTTTGGTGCAAGTGCCCCAGTTATGAAACCGCGTACATCCCACTCAGTCAGAGGTTTGAGCTCCTGCTCCCTCCCACAGGGTATGTACCAATATGCACGGAGCACATTTTCACAGATGCCATCAGAGAACAAGCATATGAATTACCAGGCAGCCTGCCATCTTTGAGTTCAGACAGAATGCCATTAATACCAGATGAAGAGCCCAAACAACAACAGCACAACAACATGAAAGCCCAAAACAACTGGGACCAGGTAAAGGTTTCATCATTTTATATATTAATGTCTTGATTAACAAAGACTCCAAACTCAACTCTCTCTCACATGCATATTCTCTCGTTCTCACTCTACCTTTCCCCCAAAAGTTGTGACACCATTGAAACTACCGGCACACTTGAGGGACTCTGTGAAAAAGGATCCTGTCAGCAAATCACGTTACGATTAATAAAATATATGCCACTGTTGACCATGACTTATTCAAGAGCTATTATAAATTCATGCCTACAATTAAAGAAAACACAATCGTTTTAAAATTGAATGGCAATAAATATTAGTATTACCCAATTAAGTCACAATTAATACTAAGCAGGCTGATTTGCTGCAAATGAACACTCCAATTAAAAGATGCACGTACAAATGGAATGAAAGGGGGAATTATACTGCCCATAGCATCTGGCCACATGGAAACGTAATAAGAATATGAGCTAGATGGACAAAGGAGAACTATAAAGGAATAATATATGTTGTTTTGTGAACATTTTAAACTGTCTTTTTTATTCTTTGTACATTTGTTTATTAGGATAGACTACTGCTGCTATGTTCCCTGTGAGAATAATGTTCAGTTTATTAATATAAACCGTTTCTGATGGTATAATAAAGTGTGACAAACTTAAACACTCTATAATTTAAAAAAAGGCCAGAAATCAAATAAAGAAGGAAAATATTAAACTCCAGGAATCAAAGATTATCATCTTTAAAAATTATATGAAAATTATATATGATATGATATGATATATATGATATGATATGGTATAAAAGTTAGGGTAAATAAGTTCTTCTATGCAAGGATGCGTTAAATTGACCAAAAGTTTCAGTAAAGACATTTAGTTCAAATAAACACTGTTCTTTTGAACCTTTTATTCATCGAAGAATCCTGAAAAAAAAAAAGTATTTTCAGTTTACAGTTTACACAAAATATAATTTTATCGAAATAGTACTGGAATTGTGATAATAATAAGAAATGTTTTGTGTGAACATCAAATCAGCATATAAGAATGATTTCTGAAGGATCATGTGACACTGAAGACTGGAGTAATGGCTGAAAATAGAAAGCAGTTATTTGAAATTGCAATAATATATTACAATATTACTGTTTTTACAGAATTTTTTTGATCAAATAAATTTAGTCTTGGTGAACATAAGAGACTTCTTTAAAAAAAAATTAAATCTTATACAGACCCCAAAACTTTTGAACAGTAGTGTGTGTGTGTGTGTGTGTGTGTGTGTGTGCGTG